CCTCGCCGAGGGGCGCTGGGCACGCGGGCTGGGCCCAGCGGCCGATCCCGACCCACCGGGGCGCCCGGGGTGGCCTGATGCGGCCGGCACTCCACACGCTCTCTGGTTCCCTGCGGGCGTGATAGATAGTGAGCTTCCCGTCCCTGGGGGTGTGCAAGGGAGCCTGCACCGGGATCGCTCGGGCTGGGGAAGCAGGACTCCACGCTGGACCCACGCCCCTTCCCGGCACAGGGACCTGCTCCTCGAGCCCCAGTCGCGGATGCCTGGAAGTGTGTTGGGGGAGGCACCAGAGGGAGTGGTTACAGGGCCCCCTATTCATTGCAGGGACAAAGCCGAGGAGGTTCCAGGCAGGTGTCAGCCTGCAGGTGCGCGGCTGCAATTCGTGCACCTCCAGGTGTGCAGAGGGCGGGAGGGTGTAAAGTGCTGGGAAGGGCAGCGCTGCGCTGGGGAAATGGGCTCTGAGCCTGCAGGAGATGCCGCCCCCGGGCACCTGCCGGCTGCGTGTTTGGGAAACCGGGAGCCGGGAGAGATGAGCGGGAGACAGCATGAGAGCAGTGTGTGTGTGACCGAGATGCCGCTACAAAGAGGAGGGAGCTGAGAGTGGATGGTTGAGACCCTCAGAGACAAAAGGTGGGGGCAGAGGCAGGGAAGGGAGAAAATGCGTGTCCAGAGGGGAGAAGAAAGTCCAGGTAAGAGAGAGCAGCAGAGAGCACAGGGCATACATGACAGCCTGCTTGGTCCCCAAGGTTGCTGTGACTTCTCCTAAGCTAGGCTTTGAGGCACAAGTCACAGGGGCCCCAAGGCAGGGCCAGCATACACTTGGGCGCCTGGGCCACTCTGCCTCACAGTTTGGGTGTCCAGTCAGGGATGGGAGCAGGACAGGATGACAAGTGGGAATCCCGACTCTGGTCTCATGAGGAGGGAGGCCTGGCCAGGCGGGTACTCTCTGTCCAACCACATTGGCTCTGTCCTGGCCAGCCTTGTCCTGTGCTGGTTATGGAAGCAGAACATGGGTAGGATGGAGCGGATGGGAGTACCTCAGTCTGGAGGTTCCCTAGAACTTGGGACAGAGTCAGGAATCACCCTGGGTAGCAGCCAAACCCGTGGGTGTGGGAATTGGAGAGATCTAGGTTTGAGCCATGTGACCTCTCTTATGCTTCCAGTAGACCCACCCTTCAGATTGACCATACTCCATCTGCAGTAGAGGACAGGAACAGGTAACAGTTCCTACTGCTGGGCTGTGAGGATCAAATGAGGTGATGCCAGGCACACTGGAGGCACTCTATCACCTGTAGCTGCCACTCTGATGCTTGTGCAGGGTCAGGGTTGGGGCTAGAGACCAGCCTGGAGTAGGGCCTGAGCAGGACTGTTGTTTGTCACTCTGCAGACATGCAGGGAGCATTTGGGGTCACCTCCAATGTGTTTATCCCTAGGTTGCCGCCAGCAGGGCCAGGAGAACTTTAAATATTTATCCATCCCGGCTCCTAGCTTTCAGGGCTGATGAAATCCCCACAGTCCAGTGGGATGAAGATGCCTTCCTTCCTGGAGTCAGCAGGGAAGAGGTGGGAAGGGGAGAATTAGGCAGAAGTTGGGGGAGAAACTAAACCTGCTTGCCAACTGGCTCTGTGACTAGGTCTGGCTGCTTCACCTCTCTGAGCCTCACAGAAGCATAGTGCTTCATAGAATGGTGCAGTGGTGCTCCTGCCTTCCTCACAGCCTACAAAGTGCCCACCACTTAGGTTCACCTCCCAATGATGGCAGAAGACACAGCTCTGACTAATTATTCCCATTGGACAGACAGCAAACTGAGGCCCAGAGAAGGACACAACTAGCCTGATCTTGACCAGCAGCCTCCTAGCCTGGGGTCCTCCCTTATCTGCCCTGTGCCTCCCATTTTTGGGGTTGCAAGTTGACCAAGGGGCTAACCCCAAGTCTCTGAGCCTCGCCAAGAGACTGGGTCAGTCAAGAAATTTCCTTGAGTGTGTCTGAGGCTTGGTGCCTGCCAGAGAAGGGTGGGGCTGAATGAGCTCAGCACCCAGCACAGGACAGGCCAAGGCGGAGGGAATGCATTAGGAGCAGAAACACTGCTCTGGAATGTGGGGTTTGGAGATCAGCCAAGAGCTGGGGGGACGGAGGAGCTCTGGATAGGGGAAGCATGAGCCCCATGCCTAGGCTCAGCTCTCTCCTGACTTACTGTGTGACCCTGGGCAAAGTCCTTGACATCTCTGGGCTCTATGTGATCCTCTGGGAAATTAGAGGACATGTGCCAAACTCTCCAGGGCTGTAAATGACGCCGGGGTGGTCTGTGCCCACTGCTCACCTCACCGAAACCCAATGGTGCTGGAAGACTGAACATACCCATAGAGGCATCAGCAAGCTACTTTGTGCCTGGCTTTGCAGTTAGGGCATCTGGCCCTGGCTAAAAAGGATGTGGAAAGATGCAAGGAGGTTAGCGAGGCAGGTAGAATGTGCCTCATCCCACTAATGGGGAAACTGAGGCCAAGAGCTGTTAAATGATGGGTTCCAAAAAACTTCTTACTGGCAGGAGACCTCGATTCTACCACCTCTTGTTCACTCACTTCTGGAGATCCATGAACGAGACACTGACAGGGAGCAAGAGGCCTTGGACTGGCCCATGGAGCTTTTCTTCTCTGGACCTGAAGGCTTCCTTTTAGCTGCAATTTCTGTTGTACCATTTAGAGTCTGGAGATTTTGCTAGAGGTGACGTGTGTGGTGGGAGCCATGGGGACTGGTGATAGCAGATTCCCAAGTGTGATGGGGGAGGAGGTTCTATAGGACCAGGGCCAAGTAAGAAGTGCTTCTCTATGCCCAGTGCTGTAGTGGGCACTACGGAAGGATGTCGGGCAGCCCTTGCTGTGCATCATCCCCATTTGACAAATGGGGAAGTTGAGGCTAATAGAGGACAGTGGCTTGCCCAGAGTCACCATGACATAGAACTAGGCCTTCTAAACCCTCAGAGCTTGGCTCTCTTTGCTATGCTGATAGTCTCATGATCCAGAGGTCTGGGTTTGGAAATGGTGCCTCACGGGAAAGGAAAGGAAGGGACAGAGAAAAGAGTGGAGGGTATCTATGGCTCCATGTCTCTCCCTCTATGTCTGGTGGTGACAGGCCACACTGGGGGAAGAGTAGAGGGGCGATTTCTGGCCACACACATAGCCAGAGCTGGCAGGCTGGGTTCTGGGCTATTTGGGGCTCCCAGGAGACAACATACCTCTGCCCTTCCCAGGGACAGTCCTCACACCCCTGCCAGGGTCAGGGGAAGGAATCTGTTTCTCTACAGGTCAAGGGGACGGTGGATGAGGGGGAAAGGCAGGACTGTGGCTAGTCTGCAGACCTGGGGCCACATCCTCAATGTAAGAACTTGGATATGTCATCCCCATCCTATGGGGGGTTTGTGGCAGCTTGTGAACCTGTCTGCGAAATGCCTGGGGAGCGCTTCCCGATTTCCCATTCCCTCTCTTCCGTTGTGAGGCCAACCCTGGGTCCCTCCTCCAGGGAAAGGATGACTCAACCCCTGAAGAGAAGTGGCAGGGAGCTGGGTGGGTTGTGAGTGCAGTCTGCTACATGCCAGCTGTTGTTACCTGAGCAAGCTGCTGAGTTTCTCTGGGATCCATTTCCTCCTTTGAGAAATGGGGATGGTGATGGTAGGGGAGAGGTTCCATCTGGGACTGAGAGCATGTCTGTGGAGCTGTTGCCAGGGTCCAGCCTCCAGCAGTGATAAGTACTTATTCACAATAAGCCCAGAATCAACTGTGCTCTGCCAGGTAACCATGCAATACACAGGCTCCAAATAGGGGAAACGGATGCAGGGCCTCATGCTCCAGGTAGCTTCACAGCCCCCATGTTCAGGAGGCCCCTTCATAGTGGACTGTTCTTGGGTGTTCATGAGTCCTTGGCCCTGGGATCAGGAGCAAGGAGGGCTGGGATGCTGATCAGAACCATGGGACGCCTGAGGCCTGGAAGAGCAGCCAGAGGCTGAGGGTGAGCTGGGCCCAAGTGGCAGGGCACCTGCACCAAACAGAGCTGTGGTAGGTGGCAGTCACCAGACCAGACAGGTGCCAAGTCTCTCAGCAAGCAACAGCTCAGTTCCTCTCCTTCAGGGCAGGAGGGAGATGGCTTTTGTGCAGTGCTCTGAGCCAGACCTTAGCCTTAGGATCCAGGGATGCCAGGGTCCTTGCCTGGCCCTGCCACACCCTTGCTGGGTGACCTCTTAGAGTTTGCCAACCTCTCTGAACATCTGCTTTTCCCATACATGACAACTGTGACTCCTACCCTGGGGACTCCCATAGAGTGGGAGGATGCAGCTCAGGCCAGAATTGCCATTTGTGGTCCTAGGCTCCGGCAGGTGTGGTTGGGGACCTGGTAACTCCCCGCAGGAAGGGGCCAGGCAGATCACAGATCTAGCACTCACTGTGTAGGCAGCCTGAGCAGGATGTGACAAAACCGCCTCTGCTACACATCAGGCCTCAGTCACCTGCTGCTCTTCCCAGAACCAGGCCTTACCTTGCCTGGTTCTCAGATCCATACTCTGGGAGGTATTATCATCCCCACTGGCCAAGTGAGCAAACCCAGGCTATGCTGCAGGGCTACAGCCCCTCCCCACTGGGTGGGGAGGGAACATCCTGGGCAGGAGAGGTCAGAGCCCTCACAAGACTGGGGAGGGCAGAACAGGAGTGATTGAGCCAAGCAGACCTACGAAGAAAAGGAGATGAAAAGTTTGCTGGGGGCAGGGAAAGGGGTCAAATGGGAGCAAGAGGAGCTTGCCTGGTGTTTCCTTGGAGGAAGTTTTTTGGGGTCCATTCCTGGGTGTGTGGAGACTGGCTCATAGAAAGTCCCAGTGCACACCCACCTAGACCTTACTGGCCTGAGTCTCTGGAATAGGTAACAGGCAGTCCAGGGTGCTTTAGGAGGGGGCAGAGAGGCAGCCTGAGGCCTTAAAACAAGGTCAGGAAACCAGAGAGCCAGCCCAGTTTAGAAGGGCTCTTCTCTCCATTTGCCCAGCGACATCAGGCTGCACATGGGTAAGCTGATAGGCCAGACCTCTAGACCTGGGCCATGGGGACTTGAGACTTGAGCAGGCCCTCACATGCTTCCTCTTGTCCAGGATGCCCACCGCCGCCACGTTGTGAAGAGGGGGCCACAGCCCTGGCATGCAGCTCTTCCCAGTAGCCCAGCACCTGCCCCTTCTGCTCAGGAGATCCCCCGGCCTGCCAGTGGCCCCCGGCCTCCCCGCTGTGGTGTGCCTGACCCACCAGATGGGCTGAGTGCCCGCAACCGACAGAAGCGATTTGTACTGTCAGGCGGGCGCTGGGAGAAGACAGACCTCACCTACAGGTAGGGGCTGGGGGATGTGGGAGCAGGACTCAGAGGCATTACCTGTGCGTCTGTGTGTGAGTCTGCCACCCTCACAGCTGCTTCTTGGGACACAGGACAGGGTTATATCTTTGTGGCAAACAGACCTGTGTGCCCACTGATCCCCAGGCCATCCATGGGCCAATGCCCTCAAACCCTGACTTAACTACACAATCATACGGATACCCTCTCTTAGCAAAGTGGCAGTGCATCTCTCATTATCTGAGGTGTATCAACACGTGCCTGGGGACAGATGTTCAGTCACTCAGGCAGCCTTTACTGGGGACCTACTGTAAGGGCCCAGTCTTGGGTCTCTGTGGTAAATGAGGCAGGCATAGCCTCACCCTCTCGAGGAGGCGAGTATTAGCCACATCATTGTTCAACTCAGGCTTCCTGCAGGTGGAGGCAGTGGTGAGCAGGGATAATAGCGGGCATCTCACTGAGTGACCTGGGAGGCCCAGAACAGGTGATGAGAAAGCTGAGACTCACACGTACTTTGGGTGGGGACTCAGCCTGGGAGCAAAGAATGGTCTGGTATTGCCAGGCGCAGTGGCTCATGCCTATAATCCCAACACTCTGGGAGGCCAAGGCCGGAGGATAGCTTGAGCCCAGGAGTTTGAGACCAACCTGGGCAACATTGAAAAACCTGGTCTCTACAAAATATTTAAAAAAAAAATAGCCAGGTATGCTGGCACGTGCTTATAGTCCCACCTACTGGGGAGGCTAAGGCAGGAGGATTGTCCAAGCCTAGGAGATTGAGGCTATGATGAGCTGTAATCATGCCACTGCACTCCAGCCTGGGCAATAGAGACCCCCAACTCAAAAAAATAAAAACCAAACAAACAAAAACCCTAGAATGGTCTGGTATCACACAGCACTGGAGTTAAGGCTGCGAGTTCTTCAGGAATTTCCTGGGTGGGGACCTGGGAACCCAAAAGGGGCTCACGGGGCCAAGGTTTCCCCACTGTGAGCAGTGCTGTTGGGTCTTGAGTGAGTCTTGGGACTTTTGGTCCTGTGTTCTTTCCACTGAATAAAGATACCTGTACATACCTAAGTACCTGCAAACCACACGAAGATGAGCCCATTGACCAGGAGACTGGTGTGCGGCCCCTGAGGCCCAGAGCACCCCTGGCCCATGTCCTGAGTGTTCACATGCCCAGCAGCCATCAGGGGCTGTCCCTGCCCCAAGACCCAGGCCCCTCCACCTCCCTCCAGGATTCTACGGTTCCCATGGCAGCTGGTGCGGGAGCAGGTGCGGCAGACCATGGCGGAGGCCCTGCAGGTGTGGAGCAAGGTGACACCACTCACCTTCACTGAGGTGCATGAGGGCCGTGCGGACATTATGATCGACTTCACCAGGTGAACCGGCAGCCTGAGATCCCTCCCGGAACAGCCTTACCTACCAGCAGCTCTGACTCTGCCCCCACCCACCTGTAGGTATTGGCATGGGGACAACCTACCATTTGATGGACCTGGGGGCATCCTGGCCCACGCCTTCTTCCCCAAGACTCACCGAGAAGGGGACGTCCACTTCGACTATGATGAGACCTGGACTGTCGGGGACAACCAGGGTATGGGCTGGGGACCCATTTTCCAGATAAGGCAACTGAAGATAATAAAGAATGGGACTTGACAAGGTCTCTGGGCCGGGGTATGGAGCTGGGTGTTCTGTGGCCGGAGGCTTGGGGGTTGCTGACCTACTTCCCTTTTCTAGGCACAGACCTGCTACAGGTGGCAGCCCATGAATTTGGCCATGTGCTGGGGTTGCAGCATACGACAGCAGCCAAAGCCTTGATGTCCCCCTTCTACAACTTCCGCTACCCACTAAGCCTCAGCCCAGATGACCGCAGGGGCATCCAACACCTATATGGCCAGCCCAGTCCCGCCCCCACTTCCAGGGCCGCAGCCCTGGGACCCCGGGCTGGGATGGACACCAATGAGATTGCACCGCTGGAGGTGAGGCTGGGAGGGCGGAAAGACAGGAGGTGAGGCTCTGCTCCCCAAGCTGCTGTCCCCTGCACTGTGCCCTCATCATGTGTCCCTCTCTCCCTGCCAGCCGGAATCCCCACCAGATGCCTGTGAGGCCTCCTTTGACGCAGTCTCCACCATCCGAGGCGAGCTCTTCTTCTTCAAGGCGGGCTTCGTGTGGCGGCTGCGTGGGGGCCGGCTGCAGCCTGGCTACCCAGCACTGGCCTCTCGCCACTGGCAGGGACTGCCCAGCCCTGTGGACGCCTCCTTTGAGGATGCCCAGGGTCACATTTGGTTCTTCCAAGGTGAGTGGGGGTTAGCGGTCCACTTGAGGGACTTCCCAGAGCCAGGAATGTCATGGCCAAGGGTAAGGACAGACAGATGGTTTCCCAGGGATACAGTGGGCACAGAGAGGGTGCCCGAAGGGTGGGGCTGAGGGAGAGTGTGGCTCACTCCTTGGGCATGGCTGGAGGCTCCTAGGGAAGGTAGTTCGAGATCAGAGCAGCATGAAGGGCAGTGCACAGTGGGCTGTGCGCTGGCGTGTTCAACCCTTAGAACCACCCCATGGGGTGGGGGTCTCGAGGTGAGGCCTCTGGGGCTCAAAGGCAGGGAAGTGACTCACTGAGGGCACATCTTAGAAAAAGCAGAGCAGGGATGTGATCCAGGTCAGTGCCTCTGGAGCTGTGCTTTCGACCTTCAGCCTGCAGAGATGAGAGCTGGGAGCACTCCCCACCCTCCCC